GCTCTTAACCCCTGGGCCATGTCTCCAGCCCCTACCCCCCAATACCTTCTTAAATGTCCCACTCTCAACATTGTTATGTTGAGGGTTAAGTTTCTGACACGTAAATCTTGAGGAACACAAACCATACCATCGTAGGTCTAGGTGGTTTCATCGGGGGCTTGGTGGTACTGGAACTCATCTCTCAGAGCAGTTTAGCTATCAAGAAAACAAGAAAAACACTAGAATTGACTGGCCACATATGAAGGAACTTCCACACAGGTCAGGGAATATAAAATGTCCATTCATGGAAATACACTGTGCTCTGGTAACAAAAGGAAAGAGGGATACTTACTCTGCTAGTCAATCCAGACAGACTACACAGACACATTTTTAAGCACTAAGCGCCCTCTGCTGCTGGAACCTGAAAACGCACAAAAGACTCAATTTCATTCTTGCCAGCTGTGAGACAAGGAAGTAGAATCCCAGAAGAAAGCTGAAGGACTCTTGCAGCAAGGATCCCAGAATCCTCAGGGAAAGCCTGCAGGCTGGGCTGGTGGCCTAATGAGGGACTGAGTGAAACTATTGACTTAGGGTAGGCCTTTGACCTTTGTGGGGTCACAGAGCAAGCCTAACTTCAGTAGAGGCAGCCATTAAATGTTTCTAAAGTAGCCTGTCACAACCTGTCAGGAGTGTGTCACTTTCCCAGCAGCCCCACCTCCTCAGCTGTATGAGGTAGTTCCCATTATTTTATTCTTTAGTCAAACATGGAGTGGGTGATATGGTTTTCATCGGGATTTTAATTTGCTCTTCTCTGATGAAAATTTCAAACATCTTTTTGTGTGCTTTTGGCCAACTGGGTATTTTCCCTTATGAAGCACTTATTTAAAATAATAGCCTGAGGCTAGAGAGATGGCTCAGTGGTTAGGAGCACTAGCTGCTCTTGCAGAGGACCTGGGTTTGGGTCCTAGAACCCACATGGTGGCTCATAACTGTCTGCAACTCCAGTTCCAGGGGCTCCAACATGCTCTTCTGGCCTCCACAAGCACTGCAAGAACATGGTACATACCCATACGTGCAGGCAAACACACACACTTGAAATAAAAATAAATAAATCTTAACAAAAGATATTAGTCTGTTCTGTGGGAAAGATTGTTCCTGTTTTCAATTATTGACTTGTAGAAGCAGCTTTGTGTATTCTGGTTATAAGTTGCTTGACAGGTGGATGCACTGTATAACTTCTCCTTATGGCTTTATTTTTACTCTTTTGAAAAAAATGATTAATTTTAAAAAGTTCAAATTCTAATTCTTTCAGAGTTGGTTTTACATTTTGGCCACGGCCTGGGTAAAGGTGTTTCTGTCTGCTTCCCATTATAGAAATGATCCATCTGTTTTCTTATAGAAACTATGATTTAAATTTTTTTTCGTATTTTATTTATTATTTTTATTTTATGTATATGTGCGTATTGCCTGTGTATAGGAAAGTGCATCCGTGTTACTCAATGCCCGCAGAGGATAGAAGAGGCTGTCGGATCCCCTGGAACTGGAGTTACGGACAGTTGTTAGCTGTCATGTGGGTGGTGGGATTTGAACCCAGGTCTTCTGCAAGAACGACCAGAGGTAGCATGAGGGACCTTGAAGGGAGAGAGCCTTCCCTTCAAAAACCCAGAGAGAAGCTTCATTAGGAGACAGAGTTTAAAGTGGGAGAGTAGGAGAGAGAGCTGCCATGTACGGCATGATGAGGTGCAGAAGGAAAGCCCCAGATCCCCCAAACAAAGGTAATCTTCTAATTTTTACAGATTTCCAGGGGATGGTGGGAAGTTCCACACCATATGATTTAACCTAGCTTAATCTATTGGCTCAGCACGGAGCCAGTTACTAGATGAGACAGTAAACTTACCTTGCAGCTATAAGGGGGAGAGGCTGGGCTTGCGATCTCCCCACCCAAAGGTATGTTGGGGGGTATGTTTAGTCACATGCATACCGCTGTGTCCATGTGGAGGTCAGAGGGCAACTTTCTTTCAGACATTGTTTTGTTCCTTCTCTCATGTGGGTCCTGGGGCTCGAATTCAGGTGGTCAGGCTTGGTGACAAGCACCTTGCTACCCAAAGCCAGCTCACTGGTACTAGCCTTCATTTCTGAGAGGACAGTTTTGTTCAAAATAGAATTGGCGGCTTATACTTTTCCCCCTTCAGCACTCTTAAGTACACGATCCTTCTGTCCTCTGCTTCTTGCTCTCTTGTAGGTGATGTGTCATCCTCCTCTTGCACCTTTAAGATTTTCTCTTGGTCTTTATCTTTTATGTACACAGGTGGAATTCTGTGTCTATCCTCTTTGGAGATCACTGAGTTCTTTGAATGTACAGATTAATGTTTTAATCAAATTTGAAAAGTTTTGCATTAGTTTTTTCTTCAAATATTTTTTTCTCCATCTCTTTTCTTTTTTGTTGTTTTTGTTTTTTGTTTTCTTGAGACAGGGTCTCATTACGCAACCCTGGCTGGCCTTGAACAAACTCAGATCAGGCTGGCCTTGCACTCACAGAGATCCACCTAACTCTGCCTCCTGAGTGCTGGGATTAATGGTGTGTACTACCGCACCTGGATCTTCTTTTTTTAAAGATTTGTGTGTGTGTGTGTGTGTGTGTGTGTGTGTGTGTGTGTGTGCCCAGGGAGACAAGAAGAGGGTTTTGGATCCCCTGGAGCTGGAGTTACAGGTAGTTGTGAGTGGTGGGAACTGAACTCAAATCCTCTACAAGAACAAATGTTCTTAACCACTAAGCCATCTCTCCAGCCCTGTGCTGCTCTCCTTTTGGAGTTCTCATTACTTGGGCTGCTATGCATGATGATGTCTGTATCACTTTCCTCATTGTTGTGATCCAATGCCTAACAAGAAGCAACTTAAGGGAAAAGTTTATTTTGCCTCAGTGTTTTAGGGATACGGTGCATCATGTTGAGGAAGGCAGGGTGGGGAGCAACACAGTCTGTGGTGGTGGTAGCTTGTAATATAGCTTATTCACATCTTGTTGAATCAGGAAGTAGATAACTTAGACAGGAGCTAGAGCTGGCCTATAATCTTCAAGCCATGCCTCTCCAGCCCTAAGTCTGCCATCTAGGCCCTGTGTCCAAAATCTTCCATGTTCTCCCCAAACAGCACTAGCGACCAAGGATTCAAACACATGAGCCTGCGGGGGACATTTCATATTCAGACCATACAATGTCTCACGTCTTTGACATTCTTTCCTTTTACCCTCTTTCCCTTCTATTGATTGCACAAATTCTATTGATCTATCTTCAAGTGTTATGATTCTTCTGTCCGCTCAAATTTGTACTATGTCCTTCTAGTGTTACTGTGGTTTTCAATCCTAGAACTTTCATTGAGATTTTATAATTTCTATCCATTTACTGACATTTTTATTTGCTGGCTCATTATTGTCAGAGTTTCATTGAATTCTTTTAGTGTGTTTATGATCACCGCTTTAAAGTCCTTATATGGAAGCTGGAGAGATGGTTCAGCAGTTAAGAACACTTGCTGTTCTTGCAAAAGAACTGGGTTCAGTTCCCAGCACTCACATCAGGCAGCTCACAACTGCCTATTCCTCACTTCCAGGGAAACTGATACCTTCTTTTGGCTTCAGTGGGCACTACCCAGGCACACACATACTCATAAAATAAATAGGTAAATAAATAAATACATAATTATGTTTAAATCCCCATTTAAAAATAAGACAAAACAAATAAAAGGGGCCTGCTGTGGTAGCACATGTTTTAATTCCAGAACTTGGGAGGTAGAATACAGCTAAAATTCCTCTGGAAGGTATAAACAACGTCTGCCCCTCCTCCCTTGGTCCCAGTGACAAACCAAGGTAGGATTTCACCAAATTATAGTCTAGGAAACCTGTGAGTTTATTGAACTAATTTACAGAGCAGTGGGTGAAGGTTTATTTACAGTAGTGTGGATGCTCTCCTCCTAAAAACACACTGGAAAGTCTTCATCCAAGGATGGATGGTGACTTCTCCACAGCCACACAAAATGACAAGAGAGCCTCCCTTCTGCTTCCTCAGCTTATATGCCCTTAGCCCCTCGCCCTCGTGCAACTAGGGTCAACTCCTTCCTTGTGGAGCATGACAGTCAACATGCTTAACTGTGATGATCCCAGGCAAGTGGGCACAACCAAATTGGGAAGATGGCATCTGCAACACAGAGGCAGGCAGAACTCTGTGAGACCAAGGCCAGCCTGGTTTATATATCGTGAGTCCCAGGTCAGCTGGGGCTACAAGAAGACCCTGTCTCAAAACAAACAAAACAAAACAAATGAGTCCTTATATGCTAAGTCCAACAATTTAGAGTATTTATGCTAACTTCCTCTAGTATGTGGCCACATTTTCCTGTCCATTTTCATATCTACTTATTTTTCTTGAAAACTGAACATTTTAACATAGCAACTGCTGTGTTCTCGTGTGCCCTTGGAAAGTGTTTTTATTTTTCTTCAAATAGGTCAATTTCAATCAGTTCCTCTATATATTTATTACTAACAATTAAAATCAGATTTCCTTTTATTGCAAATTTCTGAAAGCCAAACTATCTAATGACCTACTCTATCCCCTTCTAACCAAGCTGCTCAAAAGTCTACTTACATTCTCTCACATTACTGTATTTCATCTCAGACTTGTGCCTTGTAAAGCACACAGGAGTATCTGAGAGTCACTAGTGCTTCTTTGGGTCAAATCAAAACAAAGGTAGAATAAAGTCACTCACATGCATTCAAACCACACATTCCTTATAGATTATGGTGAGAAATTTGAAAAAGATCTTCAGCACCAAAAGAAACAAGAGATGAGAATATATCACAGAAGTCATGTACACAGATTATTCAATAATCTCAAGATACATTGATTATTCAAATTGATTGTTGTATAGTCTAATCTTGAAGAATAGCTTTCTCACCAGCTACATAACATTCCCAGCAGTAAAGAACGGTGTGAAACTTTGGCCTAAATTAACTTTTTGTCATAATCATAGCCTATAAAAATACGTGCTGCTTCACAAATTTGCATGCCATCCCAGGGCAGGGGTCATGCTAATCTGCTCTGTGTCTTTCCAATTTTAGTATATGTGCCGCCAACATCAGCACAGGGAAAAGTGGGGGTTTTTTTGTTTGTGTATTTTTGTTTAGTGACCTGAACTTATTTTTCTTCTTCACAGTGTGTTCACACTGGTGTTTCTTTTCTTTCCTTCCCTTTCTAATGTTTTATTTATTTATTTTTATTTTATGTGTATGAGTATTCTGCCTGCATATATGTAAATGCATCTGTGTCATGCAATGCCCACAAAGGCCAGAAGAGGGTGTTGGATCCCTTTGAACTGGGGTTATAGATGGTTGTTAGCCATCATATGGGTGCTGGGAACTGAACCTGGTTCCTCTGCAAGAGGAGCCAGTGCTCTTAACCACTGAGCCATCTCTATAGCCCCCTTATTTTTGTTTGTTTGGGGTTTGCGTTGTTTTGTGTGTGTGGCCTCTGCATCTATGCCTCTGGGTTCATGCTCAGTAGAGATGGATGAAGGGCTAGAGCTTTTGCAAGGTGCTCTAAAACTTGGGCACAGCCCTTTAGACCACCATAAAACTTATCAAAACCCACTATGGCTAGTTCATTACTTGGGTTTGCCAACCTCTCAGCAACCAACCAGTCAGCTATTTACCTGACCACTATTGTCACCCAGGTGTCTAGGATGTTGGCATTTCCAGCTGAGCTCCTTGGCCAAGGGACTTTTTCTGACCCCACCTCTAATTAAGTCAGCAATACCATGTTTCTAGTTTTACAAACTTACCCAGCCTTGACTGAATTATCCCATGGAAATGGGTAGCTGAAGAGGAAATTTTCTCAGGCTAAAATGTCGCAGACTTGTGGTTCTTACCCAAATTGTAATGTTTTTCTTAAATAAATGCTTAATTTATGTCATATATGTGGTCAACGTCCAGGAAGTTGAAATGGTTGTTTAAAATAATTTTGTTCAATTTTATCACAGGGAGAACTTTGCCAAGATCCTTGCCCTGTCATTGCAAAAGTCACAATGAGCTGCTTAAAATGTCATCTGAAAGCTCTTTCCATCATTGTCCTTTCCCAACCTCCTGGAGCAGACTCACTTGGCCATGCTAGAGGCTTCCATCTCCCCTTCCTTGTGGAGGAGTTAGTATCTCTGGAGGCATCTGAGCAGGTAGGAAGAGGGGGAAAAGGGACTGGGTAAGGTTGTGGCCTTTCTGTGGGTTGTACTGTTTCCCTGACTAATCCAGCCTATCCCCCAATGACTTCTGGGTGGGCAGGTGTTTCTATGCTGATTCTGTAAGGCAGGTGTTATATGATTTTTCCTGGGGAGACCTGAGCTGATGTCTTCACACCCCAGACAGGGACATCGAAAACAGACCAAAGAAATAATTCTATCCAAGTCCAGGGTGGTGAACCAGTGAGTTTATTAGGGTCTCTAACAGGATCATAGATAAGGAGCTATTTACAAGAAAGAGGGTGACTCAGACAGCGCATCACTGTAAAGTCCACCGCGACATGGGTGAGGACCCATGAAAGCAGCATCCATGGAGCTCCCTGAACAGCTTACATGTAGTGACATCGCAAAAGAGTATCTCTCCCCACCCCAGCAATTGTTTATTGCTCATGTAACCTCCTAGTGTGCCTTGTGATTCTTGAAACTTTCTTGCATGTTCTTAGCTTTTTATGAGTATTGTGAGCCTCTCCCATCACTCCATAAGGAGGAAGATATAAGTACACATTAGGGATATATGTAGGTTCTTGAAACACTTTTTTAAATGTGTGTTTTGTCTGCATATATGTAAATGCACCCATTTTGTGCAATGTCCACTGAACCCGGAAGAGGGCATCATGTGCCCTGGAACTGGAGTTATGTACAGTTGTCAGCCACCATGTGGATGTTGGGAACTGAACCTGAGTCCTCTGGAAGAGCAGCCAGTGCTCTTAACCACTGAGTCATCTCTCCAGACCCATTGTGGGTTTTGTTGTTGTTGTTGTTGCTGTTGGGTTGTTTTGTTTTGCTTTTAACATAGGGCTTCAGGTTTCACACACTGGTCTTGAACTCATTGTGTAGCTGCGGATGACTTTCTGATCTTCCTGCCTCTACCTCCCAATTGCTGGGATTACACACATGCACCAACAGGCCTAATTTATGCTGTGCTAGGGATTGAGCCTAGGGCTTTGTGCATGTTAGGCAAGCACTCTGTCAACTGACCTATATATCTCCAGTCCATATTTGGGGGGGGGGCATGTCCACTGCCAATATATTTTTCAAAGATTTATTTATTCTTATTTTATGTATATGAATGTTTTCCAACAACATATGGTGTATATATGCACCATGTGTGAGCCTGGTGTCCTTGGAGGCTAGAATAGGGCATTGGATGACTATGAGCCATCACATATGGGCTGGGAACAAAACAAGGGTCCTCAGCTAAAGCAGCTTAACTGTTGAGCCATCTCTCTACCCCCCACTGCCAATATTTTTGATGTGGGAGATTTGGTTTTGTCTCAGCTTCTTTCATTCTTACCTTTCAGTGGCTAAGAACATTGCTCCTGGGGTCATCCTGATCTAGGTTTAAAACTTAGATGTGCCAGACTTGGTGGCCTTTAATCCCAGCAAACTTGCTGAATTTGGTGTCTTGGTTTATAAAATGGAGTAAGGTATTAGGTTTTATTAGTTAAGGCTGTGGAAAAACCAATCCTAAGTCTTACTAGCATCTAACTGCCAAGGTCTAGTTCTCACTGATGTGACACGTTGAACGTAGGCTGTTTCACACTCCATTTTTTCTTTCAGGACCCAGGCTGACAGAACAGCCCCACCTGGGACATGTATACTCATGAAAGAAAAGAGAGAGATAGAGGATATACCAGAGACTCTGAAAGCTTCTGCTTAGCCAGGGCAAAAGTCACATCTGCTCAAGTGCCATTGGCCAAGAGCAGGTCATATGATTGCCCTGGCCTGCAGGGCGGGAGATGGAGACTGGAACTCCCAGGGACCTGGAATGATGGGACAAGAGACACGAAGAATGACAGCAAGACAAAGAACTCTGATCAAGCTGCCAAAGTTTATTTTTCCACGGGGATTCTTATACAGGCTGAAGCAGGAAGTTAGCTGGGGAAGAGGGAGGGAAGGTGTTGTCTCAACGGGTTAATGAATGTCCCTTAGGATGAGGGGACCTGGTGCCATGAGTCTGGTTGCAGACTAAGGAAATTGGTGGTTGCTCAAACTTATCTTAGGTTGCTTATCTTAGGGGGCAGGGAGGACTGATCAGCAAGTTCTCTGGAGGCTGCTTGCCCTGGGGGGCAGGGAGGGCTGCCAGGCAGCATGGTCTCCCACATATGATCAAAATGACATCAGTGACACTGGAAAGGATCCTTCCCTCCTGGGATGTGTTGTAGTCACCTGGCAACTGCTGAGGATAAATAACCCTTAGGAAGAACAGCTTAATAGTTGAGAACTGCAACATCACTTACCACACAATCAGAACAGCTTATTCCTTACAGTTATTGTGAGAATTAAGTGATGCGCAAGCAACTCTGTACTTAATGAGGACTCCATAAACACAGCTATAGTTATGACTACCACCTATGCTGCCAAAAGTGTTCATCTTCACTGAACTGGACTAACCTTGACTTAAAAGGAAGATAAATGGGGCTAGAGAGATAGCTTGGTGGGTAAGAGCCCTGGATGCTCTTGTAGAGGACCAAGGTTTGATTTCCCGCACCCATATAGCACCTTACAACTGTCCATAACTCCAGTTTCTAGGATTGGATACCGTCTTCTGGCCTCTGTGGGCATTGCATGACATGGATGCATGAACAGACATGCAAGCAAAACAGTCATACACATAAAATTAAAAAATTTAAAGGAAGAAAATGTTATAATTATTGCTGGGTTATTTAGTACTTATTTTTATTTTTATTTTATTTTTTGGGGTCTTTTTGAGACAGGGTTTCCCTGTAGCCCTAGCTGGCCTGGAACTTGCTATGTAGGCCAGGCTAACCTTGAACTCACAGACATCTGCCTGCCTCTGCCTCCCGAGTGCTGGGACTAAAGGTGTGTGCCACCACACCAGCTACTATTATTTATTTTTAAGATTTTATCTTTTTAGTGTACAGAGTAAATCTGCAAGAAAGTAAGTGTACCACGTAGGCACCTGATGCCTGTAGAGGCCAGAAGAGGGCATAGGGTCCCCTGGAACTGAAGCTACAGATGGTTGTAAGCTGCCATGTGGGTACTGGGAACCCAACTTACATCATCTGGTAGGGTAGTCAGTGCTCTTAACCACTGAATCATCTCTTCGGCTCCTGTATTTATTTTTAAATATTTTTTTTAATTTCATGTGTATGAGTGCTTTGCCTGGATGCAGGTAAGTGCACCCATGTATGTCATGCCCCAGAGGCCAGAAGAGGGCGTTGGATCCCTTGGAACTGGAGTTACAGGTGGTTGTTAGCTGTGATGCGGGTGCTGGGACTGAATGTAGGTCCTCTGGAAGAACAGCAAGTGCTCTTAATTGTTGAGCCATGTCTCCAACTCCCCATTATTTATTTTTGATGCGTATGTGGGCAAGCTGTGCCTCGAAGCCCACGTGGAAGTCCCAGGACAGCTTGCTGGAGCTGAAGCTTAGCCCAGTTGGCTAGAGCCTCATACCCAGCCCAAGAGGGCGCGTCTCTGTCGCCACGTGGCCCACCGAGGCCACGCCTCGTTGTGGGCGTGGTCCTCTATGTTGTGCTGGCCGCATGCAGGCGCGGTCCATGCCAAACGCACGCCCGGCGAGGGCGGAAGCGGGGCGTGGCCAGGCGCGAGGGCCCCGAGGCCGCTGGCCCTGCTGCCTGCGTGGCCTATAGCCGGCTAGACTTCCGCCGCTCAGGCAGCTGAGCGGCCACTCTGTTTTGGGGTCCTCGCCGCCCTTCCACGTCTCCCGGAAGAGTTAGCTGGGAGGCCCGGGAGGATTCCGCTCCTGAGTGGGTCCGGGCAGGCGACGAGGCCGCGGCGTAGCCGCTCGGTGTCCTCAGGTGAGGCGGCAGCCTGGGCGGGACGGTCCGCCCGAGCGGCAGCAGCCCCGAGAGCTGGGCTCCCGATCCGGTCTGCGCCTTGCTCGGCTGCCCGGCTGGTCTTCGATCCCGGGCCGCGAAGGGGACACGACAGCCCTGGAGGCTCACGCAGTCAGGCTGACTGTCCGGCTGACTGTTGTGCTCCCGGACCCGGCCGCGGAGGGGCCTCAGTGGGGTTTGTCTTCGCCTCCCGGGATCCACGCACCGCCTGACACTGCCTGGGCTGACCCCCGACCCCGGCCTGTGTGACACCTGACTTTCCACCCTGCCCGGGCGGCGCCAGCTTTGCACCACCTGTCCCCTTTGTGTCTGTCCCTGGGACAAGAGCCCAGGCTCTAGTGTCTGTAATCCACGTGAGGGCCCACGGCGGTGTTTTAGTGCTCTACTCACTTTAAGAAGGGAGGCATTTGCCTCTAGGCATTTTTATTAGCGGTAATAGTCAGGTCATCACCAGTTTCTAACCTTTACTCCTGTATGGAAATTTCTGTTTCAGAATGCATTTCACCCCCGTTTTCCTTTTATTTCTCATAAACTGAAAAAGAGACGTAATATGTTTTCCTAAAGAACAGATTAAAGATGAGCTTCTTCCTTATGAGGTTATTGCCGATTAAAGATGAGCTTCTTCCTTATGAGGTTATTTGGGTGTTTAGCAGTTAGAAATGGGGAGGAAGGGGTTCAAAGGTGGGTTTGACACTGGGCTGACTTAGAGTTTCAGTATCAAAGCCCTGATATCTTTCTTCACTCTTTCCACATCTGTTTGTTTTAAAAGGACTTTGCTATGTATCATATAATGTAGCTGTGAAAATTACGTGTGATAATGTTTACACAGCATCTGGCACATAAAAGTGAATTCTTTCAGTATTTATGAGAATGCCTCTGTGGGCTGGATTCTGGGAATTCATTGGTGAGCAAAACAGAAGTGGTTATCCAACCACTCCCCTGGCACCAACAGGGAGAGACTGGTGTTTTACAAACAATTACAGAACTGAAGGACTGTGAGGCAAAAGGAAGAGTATGAACACAGACTGATAGGACCTAGTAGAGATGGAAAGAGAATGCAGATGCATTGTCTTGAAGAAAGTTGAACTATCTAACAGTTCCAGGCCCAAAGACTGATGGCCACATTCAAGAAATGGTTGTTGGCTTTATAGTGAACTTTCTTCTCTATGGTAGGGGTTAATTACTTTATCATTACCTTAATCAAATGTGGTACCTATAGTATTGGTTGAATAGATCATCTGTGCAATCATTTCTTGAAAGTTTGAGGTCTGTTCAACATGCACATAGTAGGTAATGAGTATTTGAATTACTGAAATTTTGTTTTAGTCATATATGTGCATACCCAAATCCTAACTTTGCTTCAGTTTAACATTGATAGCTTTTGTATTAATCAGAAAATTTTCTTTTTTTTTTCAAGTCCAGATTCTAAAACAGTTTTCAAAGAACTTTTTACTTTTTTATGCTGAAATTTTACCAAATGTGTCGTCTGCTATTTGGATACTGTATGAATTCGCTGGGGCAACCATGAGAAAGTAACAGACTGGATGGATTGGACAGTAGAAATTTATTTTCTCAGAGTTCTGAGTCTAAGACCAAGGTGTTGGCAGGGTTGATTTTATGAATATTCATTTAATTGTTGTGTGGTGGGGGTATGGAGGGGCATGTGTGTGTACAAGGTCAGAGGACTTCTGGGAGCCAGTTCTCTCATTCCAGTATAAGCTTCTTGGACTGAACTCAGGTTGTCAGGCATTTGGGCACCTGTTGAACCATCTTTCCTGCCTAGCAGGGTTGATTTCTCAAGAGTTTCTTTTGGCTTCCTATCTTCTCTTTGTCATTACATGGTCTCTTATGACTGTGTATACATTTTGTCTTATAAAGATGTCACTTTAATTACCTCTTTAAAAACCCTGTTTCCAAAAACAGCCACTTTCTGGGGTCTGGGGGTTTGGAATTCAGTATGCGAATTTCATGGGAACACAATACAGCATATATCAGGTATTCTTGCTATGTGAAGATTTGCCCTTCATTGAAATAAGGAAGATGACAGTAGTTACAGTAGTTATAGCTACTACAATGAGTTACTGTCTGCCAAGCATTTTGCATTGTTTTTTTCTGTGTTATTTGATCTTAAAATCCTTCTGAGTTGGTGCAGTCATGTGTCCCTGTAGTCGGAACTGCTTTGGATGTTGACAGGACGGTGATTTGAGCCTGGTGTTCAAGGGCAGGTTGGGCAGCATAGCCAAAACCTCTCAGAACAAATATACAAACAAAAACATTTTGTGACACTTATTTTTCCTCTCTTTTCAAGATAAAGTTTCTCAGCTTCTATTAATAATTTTTCCAAGGTTGCCTGGCTAGTAAGAGGCAGGTTAGGATTTTAAGCAAGGTCCAGAGCTTAGTGGTAGCCATTACATGACTGTTTGTCACTCTGATCACATCTTGTTCTTTTTACAGGTGCCTCAAGAGAATTATTCTACTGCCATCATGTCTTGGTTTGCTGATCTTGCTGGAAGGGCGGAAGATCTTTTAAACCGAGTTGATCAAGGGGCTGCAACAGCTCTCAGAAAGGAGAATGCCAGCAACACCTTACATAGCAAAAGTACTGACTATTCTGAACTTGACCAACAAAACACAGATTTGACATACCAGACTGGACTTAAAGCTACGTATATTTCCTCAGCTGCTGATAACATCCGACATCAAAAAGCCACCATCTTAGCTGGCACAGCAAATGTGAAAGTAGGATCCAGGACTGCAGGGGAGGTCTCCCATCCTCTTGAACATTCATCTGCCCCTAGGCCTTCATCCCAGTTTGTCCGAAGGAAAAAGTCGGAACCTGATGATGAGCTGCTGTTTGATTTTCTTAACAGCTCCCAGAAGGAGCCCAGTGGGAGAGTGGAATTCAAGAAAGAGAAGAGCAGAGCACCTATCTTTCCAAGTTCTCAGTCATCAGTTAGCTCTGTGAATGCCAGCGTAACTGCCATCAAGGCTACTGAAGAAAATTCTGGGAGCCAAAGCCATGGTAGTTCATCTGTTGTCTTTCTTTCAGAATTAAGCAGATTGGATGTTTCGTCCTAAGTTAATATGTTCTGGTAGTACTTTTAATCCATCGTTACAGGATCTGTCCCCACGGTTATAAGAGATGGCTCTTTGTCGGTGTATGGTGTCAACGTGGGTGGCAGTATTGCATACCCTTCGTCAATACCTGGTTAGACGAGGGACTTTAAATAGTATCTGTTGACCTTTACCAAACTTAACATCTAAGAAATTTTGTCACATTTAAGATATGCAAATTATTAGGGTTATAACAGCAATAAGCTGGCCAGGTGTGGTGGTACATGTCTTTGATTCTAGCACTCAGGAGGCAGGGGCAGGCGGATCTCTGTGAGACTGAGGTGATAGCCAGTTCCAGGCCAGCAGAAGCCTCAGCTATCTCAAAAAGACAAAAACGAGTAAACAAAAAAAAATCAGCTGTTCTTTACATATCTGGGTGGGGGAGGGGCATGTTTTCCATAGAAGGCTAAGAGGCTAAACTTTGATTCAAGAGAAGAGTTGAAGACATTGACCTAGTAAAAAAGTAATAGCTTAGACTTCTGCTTTTTCAGTGACTTACTGAGCTGTAAAGTTACCTGAGCAAGTATCTCTTCTGTAAAATCAGGTTAGCATGGTAGTGTGGATAATTGGAATGCCTGCTAAACATTTAAAGTAGGAGTACACATGATAGGTTCTTGCAGGAATTTATTTTTTTATTTATTTGTCTTCTAGTACCAGTAGGCCTTACACATACCAAGCAAGCATTTTATCAGCTGAGTTATAGCGCTCACCTTTATACTTGCTGGTTTGAAACAGGGTCTCACTAAATTGCACAGGCTGGCCTTGAACTTACTCTGTAGTGTAGGGAGGCCTTGAACTTGCAGTCCTTTGCCTCAGTCTCCTGAATAGTTCAGATTACAGAAATTCTTTATAGATTTCTGATGAACAGGAACATATTCTCAAATGTTAAAACTTTTCTGACCATTTTTGGGTATTGATAAGTGAAATCTGTACCTTTAAGATACAAAGTTGTATAGAAGAGTGGGCTTGGAGCTTGTAAAATAGGGGCAAGTAGTAGCAATTGGCTCACCACATTAACACACTCGTGCATTTCTTCTTACCATTCTTGATTAATTATACAAATGTGATGAGAACTTGGTGGGTACAGGGTTAAAGAAGTGCCCAGTGGATAAAATAGTTGTGTAAACATAATTTACTGTAGTGTAGTAAATGAAATAATTAACGTTTATGAAAGCATTGTGGAGGCATAACTAATTGCTCAAGGTAATAAGAAAAGAATTCACAGAGGGTCTGTATTGTAAGCTGTATCTTAAAAGATGAATAGGAGATTTCCAGTTTCTCAAAAAAGAAGTTGGAGATGTATTCTAAACAGAACAAATTCTTCAAAGGGTGCTAGTGTAGAAAGAGGTAGAAGGAAATACTGGAAACAGTGAATCTGTGATGAACATTAATGAAGAAAGTGAGACCAGCAGAGGAAATGGGGAGCTCTTTGTAAAGGCCCTGTGTAAGAACTCCCTTGTTTAAACCCATTGGTTCCCATAGCTCATGGCTAAAGATTGGTCCCTGAGCAACCACTTGTGTGACTAATAAAAAAGGAATTATGGGGTGTGTCCCTAGACCCCCTGAGTCAGATTTTCTGGATGGAATAGGCCACCTGAATTCTTTTGTTCCCTAACTGGTTGTTAGCCAGTGAGCAGAGGCAAGTGGATCTCTGTGACTTTGAAACCAGGCTTGTCTACACAGTGAGTTCCAGGTCAGGCGGGGCTACATGGCGAGACCCTGTTTCAAAAGAATGAAAGAAAGAAAGTTGCAAGGAACTGACATAGACAATGTGATGCTAACAGAAGTCTAATAGAGCAATTTTTTGTACTTTTAAGGACAACAATGTACATTTCATTGTGAAGAATGGTCCGAAAGGAACCTGGTTGCCAGGGAAATGGATTAGAACTAGTCATATTACATGGAAGTTATAAAAATTAAGTTTTATTTTTCCCCTAGGCTGGAGTCAGCCTTGGGACTAACCACATTTTGGGACAAATAATTTATCCTTGTAGGATGGTTAGCAGCTTTTTTGTTCTAGCCTATTAGATGTCAACAGAACCCAGTTCAGGAGCTAGAAATGTCTCCACACATTGCTAAATGTCCCATGAAGAGGTGACCTGTTCCAGTTAAGAATCAGAGCTCTCGAGCATACAGAAGTGAAGTTGGTGAGTCGTAGGGTATGGCAGAGTTCAACTGCACTCACGACACCAAAGTGACTTCCTGAAGAGTTTCTCACCAGTTTATACTTGCCAGTTGTGCTAAGGAGTCCTTTTGTTCAACATTCTTGCCAGCTTTAGATGTTTTCTACATGAAGTTTTGTTTTCTAATCAGGCTTACTATCATTTTTTGATTGCTCTCACTGTTAATATGGATGAGCAACATTCAAATATTTGACTGCTGATGTCATTTTCTATTCAAATCTTTGTCATTTTTTTCTATTGAATTGTTGTCTTTGTGTTGATATTCTGAACTCTACCCACTGTGCCACATTACCAGCCCATCCTGTATATTTTTATTTATAAAGATGTAAGATCAACATTTTTACTGAGTTTTCTAGTCCCTTAACATGGTATGATTTCAGCATTTTTGTCTTTCATTCAGATTATATAATTTTCTCCATAAAGATCTTGCAAACTTCTGCACGGTTTGAATAATTTACCTTTTGTGCTTGTGCATATGCGTGTCATGCTAGGGATTGAACCCAGGGCCTCATGAACACTAGGCAAGTGTTCTACTTTGGAGCTTTATCCCCAGCACTGTTTTTACTTTTTATTCTGAGATGGGGTTGCAGTAAGTTTCTCAGGCTGGCTTTGAACTTGTTCTATAGCCCAGGAAGCCTTGAACTTGGAATCTTCCTGGCTTAGTCTCCTGAGCAAGCTGGTATTAAAGGTTTGCCCCACAGGGCCATCTAGTCTACATTTTTTGAACTGGTATAAGGGACAGTCCTTACATGTTTGCTTGCTGCTGCTGCTGTATTAGTTTTATATAGACATAGCAACCTAGAAAACTCCCAGTTCTCATATGTTCTTACTAACTTTTTAAAAAATAGAGCTCATTTCATGTGAGTTTTGTATTAGGTTTTTCCTAAATGCTTTTTTTTTTTTCAATTTTATGTGTATGAGTGTTATGCCTGCATGTAATCAAGTGCACCCATGTGTGCAATACCCACAGAGGCCAGAAGAGGGTATTAGATCCCCTGGAACTGAAGTTACGGATGGGTGATTGTTAGCTACCATGTGGGTCCTGGGAACCAAACCTAGGTCCTCTGCAAGAACAGCCAGTGCGCTTAACTCCTGAGCCATCTCTCTAGACCCCTTAAATTCTTTATAATCACATTAAGGAGTTCTCTTATCTAACTAGTTTGAGTCTTATGTTGAATCTCAGCTGTTTGTTTCCCCTCTGCTTTTGGAGAGGATATGATTTGACATTAATGTATTATGCTAATCAATTGGTTTTGTTGTTGTTGTTTAGGAGTGAAGACGGGGCCTCATGTGTAGTCCAGGCTGCTCTTGAACTCACAGAGTAGTGAAGATGATCTTGAATTCTTGATTCTACTACCTCCACCTCCCAAGTACTGGGATTCCAAGCTTGAGTCACCATGCCTAACTAAATCAGTTTTGGTTTTGGTTTGGTTTGGTTTTGCTTTGCTTTGTTGCAGTGTCTCACTGTATAGCTCTGGTTGGCATGGAACGCCCTATATAGACCAGGCTGGCCTTGAACTTTTAGTGAGCTTCCTGCTAAATCACTTGATTTTTTTTAAGACTTCATTTATTTATTTTTATTTTATGTGTATGAGTATTTTGCCTGCATGTATGTAAATACACCCATGTCATGGAGGTCAGAAAAGGGCATTGGAATTCTGGAACTGGAGTTACAGATAGTTGTTAGTCACCATGTGGGTGCTGGGAACCAAACCTGGGTCCTCTGCAAGAGCAGTCAGTGCTTTTAACCACTGAGCCATCTCTCCAGCACCTTCCTTTTTAAATCTTTTTTTTTTTTAACTTTTATTTGTACAAGTATTTTGATTGCCAGTATGTTTATTGGTATGTGTGGAAGAGGATGACAGAGCCAAAGCTATCATGTGGGTGCCGGAAGTTGAACCTGGGTCCTCTGGAAGAACAGCAAGTATTCTTAACCCAAGCCATCTCTCCAGCCTGAAAATAAATCTTTACTGTCTAGTCAGTGTTCAGATTTCCTGTTTATATCATACTAAAAAAAAATTTTTGTCTCTTTGGGACTCCAAGTAAGAGTTGAGATCTTAGTATCCTTTTAATCTATAGACTACTCCCTACATTCTTTCTTTTGTATTCTATTTGTTGAGTAACAAATGTGAATTTTAAGAAATTATGTATACATGATAAATACATTATAAATTTAATTATAATTTTTTGATTCATGAGTTAAATTTTTTCCTTAATTTCAGTCATGGGATTTTCCCATTTTTATACAAGATTTTTAACTGAATTGCATTGAGGTCAGAAATAATCTGTGTGTTTCAGTAAGTCAGTTTATGTGCTCCATGTATCCTTTGAAAGGAAATGTCATCTGTGCGTGGATGCTTATGTGTATGTGTGTGTTACTGCGTGTGTGTGTGTGTGTGTGTGTGTGTGCCACTGTACTCATGGCGGTCAGAGGACAACTTGAGGAAGTTGGTTTTCCCCTTCCACTATGTAGGTTCTAGGGATCAAACTCAGGTCATCAGGCTTGGTGGCAAGCACCTTTACAAACTGAGCCATCCTTCTTACCCTGTAGTCAGTTTTGGGGGAAAAAAATTGTGGGGTGGTTACTTTAAGACAAGGTCTAGAACTTGTAATCTTCCTGTGTCATCCTCCTAAGTGCTAGGATTACTGGCATGTGCCGTCAGCCTGGCTCTCATTTTGCTATTCATTTTGAGATTGAGTCTAAGTATGTAACTGGCCTTGAATTTACAATATAACCCATGTTCACCTCAAACTTGTGGTGCTCCTCCTGCATACACCCCCTAGGTGGTGGGGTCACAGGTTTGTACCTGGCTTCTTGTGTTTTTAATTTTCATTTCCTTGATCAGTAAAGGTAAGAGCTTTGTCATGTTATTGCTTGTTATCTAACCTTTTAAAAAGACCTCTTCTGCCCATAGTTATTATTTTAATCAGCTTTACCATTTACATAGGTAATTTTATCACATAATTTAAAAAATAAGGGCCTTGAGAGATGGCTCAGCAGTTAAGAACACTGGCTGTTCTTGAAGAAGACCTGAGTTCAAATCCCAGCACCCACATGGCAGCTAACAACTGTCCATAACTCTAGTTCCGGGGGATCGATAGCTTCTTCTGTCCTCCATGGGCATTGCATGACATGGGTGCACTTACATGCATGCAATGCATGCATACACATAAGATAAAAAATAATAAATAAAAATAAGTTAAATGTATGTTTGCCTCACATTTAGCAGGAAATTAAAAGTAAGATGAATTTGTATTTATGAGGCATTCTTTGGTAGAATATTTTAGATTTCAGTTGGGTTATGACAGATTGCTGTGACTTGTTCTATTAGCCCCCTTGCTTTGAAACCCACTGCCATTCTATTGTGCTTTCCTGGTGTTTTCAGTGTTGGCACCCCAGACCTCCTCTTTCAAAACCATTTCAGAAACAAGCATTTAAACGATTTCTGGTTTTTTCTTCCCAGGACTGTTTTTATGTTCTGTTCCCATTCCTTCAGTGTGTCCCAACTTCAAAGATCCTTGCAGGTCCGTAATCTCCATTTGTGAGATGGGTTTTATCAGAGGATTTGTTGAGGATTAATGGTACTTTTATGGTATGCTAACTATAGCAAACAACTCACCAAAAGCCATTCTAAAAAGCAGGTCTTTACTGCTTATCTGGTGATATTGCTAATCTAACGAAGTATGTTATGTTCATTTTTTTTTTTTTTTTTACAGAAGTGAATAGTTCTGATTCTATTCCTGAAGGCCACAAGGAATCCTCAAAGGAAAGCCTATCATCAAATGCCACCAGCACAGAGCACAACCCAGCACCTAATGATGGAGACAGATCACACGAGCTGTCTAATCTCCGACTGGAAAATCAGCTGCTTAGGAATGAAGTCCAGTCTTTAAATCAGGAAATGGCCTCATTACTTCAAAGGTCCAAAGAAACTCAAGAAGGTGATGAGGCCTTAATGAAACGAGGCTTGGGAAATGTTCTGATACAAAACATAGAGTTTTAAGCCAGTTAGGAACCCCTAAAGTTTTTGTAGCCCAGGCTGTCCTTGGTCCTGCCCTCAGGCTCCAAGTGCTAGGTTTGCAGATGTGGACCACTTTATTTAGGAACTGATAGGTAGGTGCTGGAAAAGTGACTCAGTGGTTAAGAGCACTGGCTGCTCTTGCAGAGGACCCAGATTCAGTCCCCAGCACCCACATGGCAGCTAACAACTGTCTATAACTCCAGTTCCAGGGGAGTCTAGCACCCTTTTCTGACCTCCGTTGGCATTGCATGACGTAGGTGCACTTGCATACATGGAGGCAATACATTTGTACACATAAAATAAAAAATAATAAAATATTTAAAAAAATTTTTTTAAATGGTGTTGTGGTGGTGGTGGCTGACAGCTTTTCTGATGGTGGATGAGCATGCAGAAATGAGCACTGCATTGCTCTTTTGCACTGATTTCCTAGGCTAAAAGAACATTTATTTGTAGCAATAATTGTATGAATCAAATTCTTTGCTCTGTTTCTCTTCAGGTTTGGTTTTATTTTGTTCTTCCTGGAGTATAACTTGATTTGCCTTTCCAGTCTTTTACTTGTCTCTAGTAGAATGCCACAGATGCACTGACATGTTAGTACTGTTAACACTGCAGCCTACCAGTTTGGTCTCCCAATGCTTTCTGAGATATTTCCAGAAAAATCATTGTGGAAGAGCAGCTTAGCCCATTCATTCTTTTTTCTAGCCTGTTAAATCTAGGGTAGGTTGTGACTATTGGCCTTGAAAAATGGGAGTCCATTTGGGGCAAGAACAAATTGAAAGTTGTTGTGGCCTAATTTTGACAGTAAGTGGAAGGGACAGAGTCTACATATATAATGAAAAGGATTTATTTGGTTTTGCTTGTAAAGAGAAATTTTGTTTTGGGGGACTGGAGAGATGGCTCAGTGGTTAAGAGCACTAATTGTTCTTGCAGAAGACCTGGGTTCAGAGCCTAGCACCCACACAGCAGCTAATAACCACCCATAACTCCAGTTCCAGGGGATCCAGTGCCCTCCTTTGTCCTCTGCAGCACTGCATGACATGGGTGCACTTACATACATGCAGACATAACACTGATAAAATAAAAATGAATAAAAAAAGAGAAATTTTGTTTTTTATAGAATTAAACACAGCAAGAGCAAGAGTTGAAAAATGGAACGTTGATCATTCAAAGAGTGATCGAATAACTCGGGAACTAAGAGCCCAAGTTGATGACCTTTCTGAATCAGTGGCTGCAAAGGATTCCCAGCTGGCTGTCCTCAAAGTGAGACTCCAGGAGGCAGACCAGCTGCTGAGTTCTCGCACAGAAGCGCTGGAAGCCTTACAGAGTGAAAAGTCACGGTAAGGCAGTTCTACTAATAAAAAGTAAGCTAGAGTGTTCTCTTTCCAATACTAGTAATGGTAAATACTGTAATGTATTCTACTTAGGAAAATTTAGCTCTTTGCACATTTACAAGAGGGAAAGTTTATTTTGGTAATATTGGAAATGTAGTGATTGAAGTGGATTCGTTGTTTGACTTGAGATTCATGTTTAGCAAATTCTGAATTTAAAAGTATTTGAAAAGCATAGTGCTATTAATCATTTACTATATAGTATGTACTTATATATAGGGCCTGAAAATATAGAACTTTATTCCATTAGGAAAAATAATCTCATCAGAATGTTTTAGACCATCTTTTTTGTAAAACTAACTCTTCAGTGTTCTGAAGATCACACTGCCTGATCACCGTTCCTGTAGAAATGGGTTCTCTCATGGGATGCATTTTCTTTTAGAATAATGCAGGATCACAATGAAGGTAGTAGCCTACAGAATCAAGCTCTGCAAACTCTTCAGGAGAGGCTGCATGAAGCGGATGCCACTCTGAAGAGAGAGCAGGAGAGCTACAAACAAATGCAGGTTAGGAGGGAGACAGTGTTCCATTGGGATGCTTGGACAGGAGGGCATTTCTCTGCATTCTATAGCACATTGGTTCTTCAGGAAAGTTTCACATGCATTTTGTAAAATGCTGTGACAGAAACCCAGATCCTTGAAAAATTACCTTGATCCTTGCTAAATTTATTTCATGTGCGAGAGAAAATGAGAATGATTAATATTCACTGGGAATGTGCATGATCCACTCAGTCTGGTTGTGCAGCTGCCATCACCATTATTTCAGCAAATGTGAATTTGGGGCATCTTGTTTAATTGTGTCCAGCTTAACCTGATTTTTTTTTTAAATATTTTTTTTATTTATTTATTATTTTTACTTTATGTGTATGTGTGTATTGCTTGCATGTAGGTAAGCGCACCTGTGTTGGGCAGTGCCCACGGAGGTCAGAAGAGGCTGTCAGATCCCCTTGAACTGGAGTTAAGGAGAGTTGTTAGCTGCCATGTGGGTGCTAGGAATTGGGAATCCATGTGGGATTCAAACCCGGGTCTTCTGCAAGAACAACCAGTGTTCTTAACCACTAAGCCGTCTCTCCAGTCCCCTATTATTTTTATTATATGAGTGTATTTGCTTGCATGTATGTGAGTGCACCCATGTCGTGCAATGCCACAGAGATCAGAAGAGGGCTTCAGATTCCCTTGGAACTGGAGTTAAGGACGGTTTGTAGCCGCCATGTGGGTGCTGGGAATTGAACCCGAGTCCTCTGTAAGAGCAGTCAGTGCTCTTAACTGCTGAGCCATCTTTCCAGCCCCTTAACCTGATTCTTTTAAGAGAATATTATTAACAGTTCTACTGGTAAAGGATTTTCTTGAAATATTTATTTTTTGTGTATGAATGTATTGCCTGCATGTGTATAAGTGCACCTGTGTTGTACAGTGCCCACAGAGGTCAGAAGGTGGTGTTGAATTCCCTGGAACTGGAGTTACAGACAGTTGTTAGCTGCCATGTCAGCACTGGGATTCGAACCCAGGTCCTCTGCAAGAGCAGTTAGCACTCTTAACCTCTGAGCCATCTCTCCAGCCCCGTAAAGGAGTTTTAATGTATCGTTCATTATGTAGTACTTTCTGATGCTTGGTGTCCACTCCAAGAGAGTTTGGATCTACCATATAAGGCAGGCTGTAGGCTTTGGTGGTTTGTTTTTGTAAGACTAGAGGGTGAGTCCAGTGGATGGCCAAGGCTGCAGATGTTCCAAAATCTGAGAAAACAGCTGAAACACTTCTGTGGCTTCAGGCATTTTGGATAGGAGTAGGTAATCTACATATTAATATCTCAGTGTGTCCATCTTAAAAATTAAGGAGGTATTTCACATTCTCTTGTCTACTGATTCTTTAAAACATGATATAGTTTACACTTGCAGTACATTTTCATTTCAGATACTCAGACATTTAAACTTTCTTCAGGGATACTTGATCTGTATTTGGATTTCTTAAAATTTACAGATGGACAGGGAGAGTCACATACCTGTTCTAAAAGTATTCACAAGTTTTTGTAAGAACAGACAGTTCCTCAAAAAAGTAAAACATAGAAGCAGAGTTATGGCCTACCATTTCTGCTCAAGGTGTCCACTTGAGAGAATGAAAGTGTATGTTCACATAGCAACTTGCTGAATGCAGATAGCAGTGTTAGGCCAAAGCTGGAAAGAATACAAATGTCTGTAATCCCAGCATTCAGGAGCAGAGGGAGGCAGATCTCTGTGAGACCCAGTCTGGCTGGGGCTACAAGAGACCCTGTCAAAAAAAAAAGGCTGGTAAACTGACAAGATGGCTCAGTAGGTAGACGTCTTGCCACACAAACCTGACAACTTGAATTGGATCCCCAGAGCCATGGTAGAAGAAAAGAACTAACTCCTGAAAGTTGTCCTCTGAGTTCCACAAGTACACCATGGCATATGTGCCCTTCCCCCACAATTACACACACTAATAATAAAAATAGGTAGGTAGGTAAATACAAAATATTTTTTTAAATGAAGTGTTGATACATACATGCTAAAGCATGTATAAATTCTTTGCTAGACCTTGGAAACATTGTACATTAAGACAGACACAGAAGGCCATGTAGTATATGATTCCATTTACATGAAATGTCCAGAATAGGAAAATAAACAACATAACAAATAACATAATAACTTGCTGAATACATGTAGCAGGATTATTCATAATAAGCCAGAGCTGGAAGTACAGTTGCTACAGGGATAAGCAAATCGTGGTATGCCCATCCAAGAACATCTTATTCAGCCATAAAAAATAATGAAGTAGAGACTGGGGAGAGAGTTTAATCTGTAAAGTGCTTGCTATTACTGGGGAATAGGTAAAGAAGATTTCTGAGTTGATGAAAATTTTCTGGAACTAAATAGTTGCACAGTTCAGTGAATACTCAGAAAACCACTGAGTTGTCATGTCGTAGAAGGACCTGTAAATTATATCTCAATGAGTTATTTTAAAAAGTTGCTAATAACAGAATTGAGTATTCATTGTTATGTTTCAGTTTAAGTTAATGACCATGAATAAACTGTAAAAATTCCTTCTGCCGACTTCTCTAGACACATCACATGCTCCACAGGCCTCAGGGGTCTTGCTGCTTTCTGCAAGGCAGGGCTTGGTTCCAAATCAGAAGTTTGTGGGTGTTAGTTATTGGCACACAGCTGAAAGTTTTCTGGCTTCTGAGTTTTCTGGTGACGGGAAATTTTGAGTGTAAAGGTAGTAATTTTCAGAACTGGGGGATTTCTTGCTTGCTAAATCAGCTAATAAATGACAATCTTTTTTTTAAGCCAAAAATTTATTGAGTAGTTGATTACAGAATTTGAAATAAAGGGAAGACTAACCATTTTCCAGAGTCTAGCTGTGCACTCCTTTTATTTTCTAGTAGGCCTCCTTGCTTTCTCTAGACCTGTTAGCCATTGATTAGCTATCATCAGACTAGATTAGTATCCAAGTGGCCAGATTCACTTCAAAATTTTCTGGGGTTTTTTTTGGTTGTTGTTGTTCTTTTTGGGACAGGATCTCCCTGTAGCCCCACCTGGCCTGGAACTCATTATGTAGACCAGGCTGACCTGGAACTCACAGACATCCACCTGCCTCTGCCTCCTGAGTGCTGCTGGGATTAAAAGCATGCACCACTACGCCCGGCCTGGTTTTTTTTTTTTTTTTTTTAAAACCCCCTGTCCTGTCTACCTGTGTGTTTGTGGTATGAAAAGCAGTCCCCGCTCCCCCCGGTGGTTTTTTTTTTTTTTTTTTTTAAACAAGATCTTGATATGCAGCCCTCACTGGCCTGGTACATAGCTAAGGATTGCTTCGGTCCTCTTTCTTAACCTCCCAAGTACTGGAATTGCAGGTGTGTGCCACCTTACCTGCCTCAGCCAGCATGTTTCTTAGAAAACAGGTCTTCAAGCCCAGTATTGGAAATTGCAATTCACTAAGCCTGGAAAAGGTCTAGCTGCACTTTGAACAAACTCCCCAGTTGGTTTTAATGTATTACTGTGTCTGAGAGCCACAACTTTAGATCCTCTTTTATTTTTATCCTCATTGTTGGTAAGAGCTAATAAATCCCAAAAGATATCTGAATGCGTGGTTGTAAATGTATTTCAAAGCCAAATGTACAATAAGTATCCTCTAAAATTTACCACAGAGTGAGTTCGCTGCACGCCTTAATAAGATGGAAGTGGAACGTCAGAATTTGGCAGAAGCAGTTACTCTGGCAGAAAGAAAATACTCAGATGAGAAGAAGAAGGCAGATGAACTCCAGCAGCAAGTCAAGCTGCACAAGTCAAACTTGGAGTCTTCGAAGCAGGAGTTAATCGACTACAAACAAAAAGCTACTAGAATACTCCAAGTAAGCACGAAATGTACTCTTCTGAATGTTCAGATGTGCCTGTTAACTGGGAGACCCAGATGCTCTCTGTAGGTCCTCTGAGAAGATTTGTTTGTGCTTGGCTGGGTTGCCTTGCTATACTTCAAGAACAGACAGACTTACTGAGAAAGGGCTCATTAAAGTCTTGATCTTAAAGAAAAATGCTGGCCACTGCCTAGTTGAGCTCTTCAATGTACCACCTTCAGCACTCTGATGATACCAGTTGTAGTTAAGCAGCTGTGGTGATTCCCGTAAAACCTGCCATCCCCCAAGGTAGCCTTCAGTTTCTTGTTGGCTTGCCTGTCACACCATGGCCTTTGCTTTTTACTTAGGATAGTCTGCCTGTCTATACTGATTCTGCCTCCATCTAAACTCATTTGAGCCCTTTCTCCATAGGTCTGTTTTCTCTTGTGTGTCTGTACTGCAGCTCTGGCTTAGCTCACAAAAGAGTGTGTAGTACCTTAGTGGAAAAATGAAGGCTAGAATTTGGGACCCTGCCGAAGAAGAAGAAAGTTGGGTTTTGCTTTGCTTGTTGTTGTTTTTTCTTCGCTTTCTTCCACTTTGGACGCTTCACTGCCCGTTCTTCATTGTCGGGTGCATCAGAATGGTTAGCGCTGTGCTGTCTTCATTTCTTTAGAACTTGTTCACTTTAACACTTTCATTTAATTCCTGTCTCAATTACATTTCTGAAATTGTCTTCCCAGAAAGGTCTAGAATGACCTGGATGTATGTTCACTGTCCCTTTCGTTGTTATGTTTCCATACACTTTGTTTTTGATAACAGTTGACACTGTTACACTTCTACCTTCTGTGCCTTTTGTCCTCTCTTAACCACTGTTTCTGACTCTAGGGCCTTCTTCCCATACTCCAGAGGGTTAGCCATCTCCCTAAGTCCTGCCCTAAACCTTCCTTCGTTACTCCTTTCTACCTTACATTGCCGCATACTCTGCTTCTCTCTGCCACCTCATGAGACCTCCAGCAGCCTCCAGCCCCAGCCTCCTCACTCAGTTTCTGACTGCTTGCTGTTTAGATGTGAGGAGGCCCAACTCAAACTAGCTTCTTCATTGTTCAGTCCTGGTAAATACTACTGTCGTCTGTCAGTAAAGCATGAATCACACAGCTCTTTCCAAAATTTTAGTTTTTTATTCTTCCTGCTTTAAGAGATAATTCAGCTTAGCAGATTTTAAAAATCAATCAAAATAAGTGATAGGGTAAGTTACTGATGCAGTACAGTGGGACTTTGAAAGGAAAATTAAAAAAAAAACCTTTATATGCCCAGGGATGTAAGGGTTCACTGCACTGAGCCAACACTGTGTAAGGAGACTTCAAAGGATGAGTAAGAAGACTCAGGCAAGACTAGAGATTCCAGATAGAGCAGCTGTGCCAGAGGCGGGGGCCTGAGAGAACATGGCATGCCTAGGGGAGCTAGTGCCCATTGCTGGAGCATAGCCTATTAGAGATTAGTGATGGGAGATAAACCCAGTGACAGGCTGCAGCCCCTTGTGGAGGCTCTAGCTTACCATACAGGGAGTTTGGTCTCCTTCTGTAGCAGGGGGGTGGTGCTAAAGAACTTGGGTGTCCTGATGAGATTTGAATGTGAGAACAGTAACAATAAGGAGGAGCTTCGGCAAGAGCTGGACTTTGGCTTGTTCGTCAGTGTGTCCTAACAGTACTGAGTGCATCGGAGGGATAGGTGGGATGGTGAAATCAGAGGTGAGATGGTAGCTGCTAAGCAGATGATTATAGAAAGTATTGAGGGCCTGATCTTGGTTTGCAAAAGTGAGGATGGCAGACAGGACAGCTAATATGTAGAAGGCAGACTATTCAAAACTTGGAAATTTAGTTGGAGGGAAGAGGAAAAAGTCAGATGGAATATAGGATGACCCCCAGTTTCTCTTTGTATGTATGAGTATTGTTTCCTTGACCTGTAAAAAGGAAAAACAGAAATGACAGCTGGTCAGAGTTGAAGGAGGCTCTCACAAATCATGACAAGGTGGAAAAACTGATGTCACACTGAGGTGAAAGTGTCAGGAAGGTGATTACAAACTCAGGCCTGAAGGTCGGCAGAGAGGCATGGGCATTAACCATGGGAGATGGCTTGTAAGTTGGGAGTGTAGGTAAAATTAACCAAGAAGAATGGAAACCGGGCATGGTGGTGCTCGACTTTAATCCCAGGACTTGGGAGGCAGAGACAGGCTGATTTCTGTGAGATCCAGGCCAGCCCGGTCTACATAGGGAGTTCCAGGCCAGCTGGGGCTCCAGAGAGACCCTGTCTCAAAAAACAAAAAAGACCACTATGTAAGAAAGCCTAGGGGTTCAATGTACAGTTTTAAACATTAGCATTTACAAACTGGACAAAAGAAAACTGAGAGGAGGAATGACAGAGTTTGGAGAGAACCAGAAAGAAGCCAAGCCAGGGGAGAGTGCCTAGGGGTGATGGGCAGTTAGTCAGGTGCTGTGATGTGCTGCAGGCTCCTGGAATTCTTAGATCTGGCACTGGAAGGTCCCTGGGACTCACAAGGGAGAGGTCTGTGGTGCTCTGGGACTTGACAACCTGAAGACAGTGACAGCTTGACTGTCAACATCAGGAAAGGACAATCACTAGACACAGGTGTGAGGGTGGAGTCTGGGGTCTTATGATTTAGGGATATGTAAATGTTGGTGTTCATTATAGCAGATTTGAAAAATAAAGTTTGCAGAAATGGAAACCACCTGTAGTTCTGCCACTTAGAAAAGGAAAAATTCTTTCTGATAAAGGAGAATAACTTTAAACTATTTGTATTTAAGATCAAAGAGCCGTTGATCTTTAGTGTTGGTTTAGAATCAGTGCTTTGTAAATCTGATCTCTTCTCCCCACTCATCCTTCATGCCAGGGATCCACAGACTTTTCTGTAAAGTTCCAAATAGTAAATATCTGTACACTGTGTGGGCTGAGGTGGCCACCATCACATATTCATTGTTTTTACTTCTTACAGTCCTTTGAAAATGTGAACCATTTTTAGCTTGTGAGCTGTACTGAAACAGGCCACGGGCCAGTTTGGTCCATGGACCATGGTTTGGACACCTGCTTTACAACACTGCCAGATCAGCCCTCCTAAAATGCATCTTGGTCACATCACACTTTTGATAATGCAGTTTGGACTACCAAATCAAATGAAAGTATTTTGACTTCCAGCTGTGGTGGCACCTGCCTGTAATCTTAGCACTCTGGCGGCTTAAGCAGAAGGTTTTGCACAAGTTCAAGGCCAGCCTTGCCTTCATTTGGATCTCTATGAGATCAAGGCCAGCCTGATCTAACATAGTCTGTTCTAGACCAACTAGGGCTACAGGGAGACCCTGTCTCAAAAAACAACAAAAAAATCAATTTTAGCCTGGCATCTGGAGCCCTTACAGATCGATTCAAGCATTCTTCCTGAGCTGTCTCACCTAGCACTTCCTGTAGACCCTGTGCTTTTGAATTTTCTCTATACTTTATAAAACTCTAGCCATATTCAAGGCCAATGTAAATACTCTCAAGTGAAACCTCTTCCCCAAAAGTGGTTTCTCCTGCTCTCTGCAGTAATCTGACCATGTCCCTCTCAGAGTTTATTGCATTCTTCCACTGAGTACTTGCTGTTTCCCTTTTAGTTTATGAGGCACAGAGTACTATCCAAAGGGGGACACATTATCTTTATTACACAGAGCTCTTCGTGTCATGCCAGGTGCATCGTAGATGCTCCATAAATACTTGTTGAGTGGAATGTAATGGGAAGAAGTGTAGAAGAATGAGAAAAATCTTGCTTATGAGAACTTTTAAACTATAACCTGACTATGGGAACTAAAACTAAGCAAGGATCCATTATATTTTTATCCCTATGGCTTTAATAGGCTGTGGATTTTCTTTCATCGAGATGATAATTGGCATGATTCTCTAGTGTATTTGTTTCTATATGGTGGGATGATCTGCAGTATGCAAGCTAGCTCGGTGGAATAGTGCGTGCGTAGCATGTGTGAGGCCCGAGGCTTGATCTCCGGTACCACCAAAAATAAATAAAATAAAAATACAAGCTATGTCCTGACAGTCTAAAGAGAAGTTGATCAGCAGCTTAAAGGAAGGCTCCGGCTTTGAAGGCCTAGACAGCAGTGCTGCCAGCAGCCTGGAGCTAGAAGAGCTTCGGCATGAGAAGGAGATGCAGAAGGAAGAGATCCAGAAGCTGATGGGCCAGATCCATCAGCTCAGATCTGAGCTTCAGGTAAGAGTTACTGTGGTTCTGCATCCTGACAACCATTTACCCCCAGCTGTCATCAGTTTGAGTGGTGATAGATTCTGTCGGAGGAAATGGCATTACTGAAATGATGTATAAACTTCTGCTGGAATATTAGTCACCATGTAGAAGTGAATCTATAGCAATAGGTTTCTTTAAGAGGGTAACAAACACAGGTAACCAGATTCAGTCATTCAGTACTTACTTACAACCACTTACTTACTAGAGTCCGATCCTGTCTCAAAAATCCAACTCCAAGTCAGGTGTGTAGCTTTGTGGCTTTAATCCCAGCACTCAGAAGGCAGAGGAAGGTGTCTGTGAGTTGGAGGCCAGCCTGGTCTACAAGTTCTGCCTTGTGCCTAAACTTAAGAGTTGTAACAGGAAACAGACAATAATCTTTAAATTACGGATCTGCTACTCAAAAGCAAATTAATTTGAGGTTTGCTATAATACCGAGATGTTTTCCAATATTAGAATGAACTCAGAAATTATAGTTTTATTTATAGTCTTACGATAGTTTATGTATAATCACTGTATTTAATCTAAAAGTAATGGTCTGGGGCTATGGTTCAGTGGTAGTACATTTGCCTAGCATGTGGGAGGTCCTAGGTTCAATCTCCAGTATCACAAAAAAGCAGTAAATCTGGCCATTTATTTAATCAAATACAGCATCTTTGACATAAGTCATAGAGAGTCTCTGAGGATAGGAGAAAATTAACTGTAGGGTAATAAATCTTCTGTTCTTAAAATAAAAACAACCATTTGCAAGATGTTCTAGTTCTATCACTGTGATAAAAACATTGACCAAAACCAACTTGGGGAGGAAAGTGTCTATTTGGCTTACCGCACAGTCCATCATTAAGGGAAACCAAGGCAGGAGCCTAGAACATGGAACATGGAGGAACACTGCTTACTAGCTTGCTCCTCTGGCCTGTGCACACACTGCTTTTTCATACAGCACAGGACCACCTGCACTGGGGTGGCACAGCCCCTTCCCCCCATCACTCAACATTTAAGAAAACACCCCACAGACATGGCCACAGGCCTATCCAATGGAGGAAATTCCTTAATTGAGGTTCCCTCCACCTATGTGTGTCAAGTTGACAACTGAAGCTGCCCAGCACACAGGTTTTCATTTATGTGTTTCATTTACTCTGTAAGTTTTTGATTTATCAGACTGAAGTGAACTACAAAGGAAGCGTGCAAGTCGTGACAGGAAGTTTGTTGTCTGGAACAGGGCCTCAACTATCAGACAGACCTGGCTCGTATCACATTTAGTACTTAACAGATATTAACTCACATGAAGCAGTTCCTCTTGAAGTTCATCTTCATATACAAGGTGCAGCTAAACAGAGGTTCTCTTGAAAATAAGAGATACTTTGTAAAGGGTTAGCACTGCTCTTGGCATGTAGTAGACCCCCGATAAATAGTAACTACTGGTATTTTTGGATTTTTTTATTTAAAGTAGAATTACTTAAAATTTGTAAATAAATGTGAATTCCAAAGAATTCGGTCTTATGAACTTAGAAGTTAGGTCAGGTAGATGCGATACTTTCTCATATTGTTCCATGTCTTTGGCTAAGATTATAAAAAGTACAATTTAGCTGGGCGTGGTGGTACATGTCTTTAATCCCAGCACTCAGAAGGCAGAGGTAGGTAGATCTCTGAGATGGAGTTGGAGGCCAGCCTAGTATACATAGCAAGTTTCAAGCCAGCTTGGGCTACAGGGAGACCCTGTCTCAAAAAAAAAAAAAAAAAAAAAAAAAAAAAACACCAACACCACCCCCCAAAAATACAGTATGTCTTAATATCCAACCCAGCATCATAAATGACTTTGACCTGTTTTCCTGCCCCTTCTCAAGAAGTTTATGAAATCTGTAGTAAAGTATTAGGTCTATTAAAATATTAAAATTTGTTAGTAGACCTGGAGAAGTGGCCCAGTGGATAAAGATGCTTGTTATGCAAGCCTAACAACCTGAGTTCTATCCTGAGAATCCACATAGAGGTGGAAAGCGAGAACTGACTCCATATAGTTGTCTTCCAACACACACGCGCACACACACACACACACACAGTGGCATGAATGCCTACACACATATGCACACACATAATTTATCTTTTATTTATTTTGTTCTTTATGAGACAGGGTCTCCCTGTAGCCCCAGCTGGCCTGGAACTTGCTTTGTAGACCAGGCTGGCCTTGAACTCACAGAGATCTGCCTGCCTCTGGCTGCTGGGATCAAAGGCATGCACCACCACACCCAGTTTTTATTTTTATGTGTATAAGTGATTTGCCTGCTTGTACATGGATGGGTGCACCATGTGCATGCAGTGCCTATGAAGGCCAGAAGAGGCTGCAAGATCCCCTGGAACTGGAGTTACAGTCAGTTGTTAGCTGCCATGTGGGTGCTGGGAACTGAACCTGGGTCCTGTACAAGAGGACCACTGATAATAATTTTTAATTTTAAAAAGTAGGTATACAAATCAGATATTCTGTAGAAGTTACTAGTAATCATTATGGCATCATTTACTGAGCACTTAATGTCACCATACACTGGACTTCTGTCCTTATATTTGTTCTTCACTATAACCCTGAGAGGGAGAGATTATTCTCCTACCTTTGAAGAAATTTGGGCACAGAGAAAAGCAGCTTATCACCAGGCTAGTGAAGTACTAGAGCCAGGATTAGAACTAACTCCAGAAGACATGTTCTTAACCACCTTGTGTTCAGTCTTTTAAGAATTTGCTTCAGCCGGGTGTGGTGGTATACACCTTTTATCCCAGCACTCCAGAAGTAGAAGCACATGGATCTCTGTGAGTTTAAGACCAGCCTGGTTAACACTTTGAGTCCCAGGCCAGCCAGGCTACACAGTGAGACCATGTTTAGAAAATAAAAAATAAATAATTTGACTCAGTGAGCTGAATTGGTAACAAAGGTGAATCTACCTTCTGCTAACACTTTGAACTCAAAAATTGGGAAAAAAATAATTACAACTATCATTTTCCCCTCTAAATCCAGAGAGGTATGTAAGTGTAGTGGATTGTACTATGATCCCAGTTCTTCAAAGAGTTTGTGAATATGAGTCTAAAAAACAATGTCCCCAAAGATAAAATGTATACGTGAGGTGCTGGTTTTAATCTTCCTTAAGGAATAAGTGAATGGGCTTGTGTTTAACATGTGTGGAGAGAATAGAGGAATCTAGAGTTGTGTTCTTTGTGCTTGTAGATTTGACAGGAAATTCAGGCTTTTAAGTTTGAAAAGGTTAGAGTAGGAAATAGGAGAAGATGGGAAATCAGATACTGCTAACCTCAGGTGGTATCAGGGAATAGGGACTCTGTCCATATGTAGGTAACTGGTGCACACACTGATTAGAGTCTGCATAATGGAACTAATTCAGTGAAGTCTTTTTTGAAGTAAACTAAAGTTTCTTTGAGATTGTTTTTTTCCATGGAGGCATGAATCTCCCAGTGAGCCACTGTCAGCTCACACTCCTGAAGCCAGACGGTCTGTGCCCAGCAGCTGCAGCATCCTGCTCCTCACTCACTGTTAGCTAATTACATCATGAAGGTGTCAGGTTAGATTCTTATTATGGGCTCATCGTGTCCCTCTGGAGCCTGCCAAGCCTGGTATGTGATGGTTGCTCAGAATGCACGGAACTGAATGGTTGGTTCTTGCTTTCACATGTAAGGTTCTTTCTAGGACATGGAGGCTCAGCAGGTTAGTGAAGCAGAATCAGCAAGAGAACAGTTACAAGATCTGCAAGACCAAGTAGCTGGGCAGAAAGCATCTAAACAAGAGCTGGAGACGGAACTCGACCGAATGAAACAGGTAAGGACTTGAGGTGGACACTTATCTAGGAAGACTCTGTCCTCTTGTGGTCATGTGAGGACATCTTCTGGGAAAGCTTGTGACACAGGTTAGTGGTAGATGGGTGCTTAAAGGTCCCTTAGTGCCTTCCCATCCCATGCTCTTTTTTTGAGGTTGTTTATCTTGTTGCCTATTTTTTATTTAAAATTTTATGTGTATTATATGATACATGAATATGGGCACATACATGCTATGGTACATGTACCACTGGGTATGTAAACGTCAGAGGACAACTTTGTGAAGTTGATTTCTTTCCATGTTTAAATGTGTTCCGGGGATTGATGTCAAGTTGTCAGGCTCAGGCTGCAAGTGCCTTTACCAACTGAGCCATCTAGCTGACCCATGTTGTTTGGTTTTTAAAGATTTATTTATTTGTTTTGTTTATTATTTATTTGTATTTCTGAGTGCGTGAGTGTAGGTGTATGTGTATGTGCAGGTGTGTGCACAGACCAGGAAAGGATGTCCAGTATCTTCTTCTATCACTCTCCATCTATTCCTTTGAGACAGGATCTTTCCCTAAACTTGGGGCTCATATTTTCTCAGCTTAGCTGGAAGCCAGCAAGCCCCAGTAAGCCTCCTATCTCTGCCCCTCTCAGAGCTAGGGTACAGGTGTGTGCCAAAAGTGCTGGGATCTGAACTCTGGTCTTCAAGATTTTGCAGAAAATGCTCTTAACCATTGAGCCATCTCTCCAGCTGTTTTTGTTTTTGTTTTTAGCAGATGAAAAATAAAGGCCCACAATGATGATATAACTCTCTGATATTGATAAGAGAATAAAATTCAGTATTCTTGTCTTGTAGCCCAGACTCTGTCACTACCCTGTGTCTATATTTTATCATATCCCTTTGTCAGAGCCTGAGTGTATAGAAAACTTTAAAACATACTGTATTCATTGACTTTTCATAGTCTCTTACATCTGTGCTTTCTAAGAACTACAGTGTTATTTACTAGAAATGCAGTGTCATGCCATATTAGTTACTCTATGAGAAAAAAAAATGTATATGTTCAGTTGCAGTTATTTGTTCCCCAAGCCAGAGTATTTTACATTAATATATTTATGTAATAGTTTGTATATCAGGGCAGTTAATATTAAACATAATTATAACCACATTTCAGAATAAGATTCTGTACCTAATATTAATATCTGAGTAGCAGCATTGCTATTGGCACTTACTATCTCATTTTATACAACAAGATAATGCCTGTTCATTCTATTTAAAAACTGTTGTTGTGATTCTTAGCATATGACTCATAAAATTTGCAATTTTGTGTATTTAGATTCTCTTGATTTTTTCATGTGTATTTAAATTAGTTCATTTTTTTTCATTAGGTTTATTATGGAAATAGCACTTTAAAATATTTTCTGTTAAGAGAAAAACCAAGCAGTGACCTGTGGGGAGGAGGAGGAGTGTGTGTGTGTATGTGTGTGTGTGTTAGGCTGTTTTAGTTAATTATAAGATTAGCTGTCCTTTCAGAATTGCATTTTAGTTTATTCAGAGAGCTGTTACATATTAAAGGGCAGCAATTTGATGTGCTTGATAATCTTCATTTTATTATGGCAGATGATTTTCGTGCGAGCTCTCAAATGCCCTTTTAAATAAGATGGAGTTAAGAAGAGGTACATGAACTGACTATAGCTGGAGGCTACTTATTTTTCAGTCAGAGATTTCGGATGTAAAGTATTTAATTCCAGGATCAAATGTGTACCTTATTAAGTAATTTCAACCTTGAATTTGTGTAGACATAGAGCTTAGAAGAAATTTGGCTCCCCTCCTGGTAAATTATGACCAGGTCATCAGGCTGGAAGGCAAACACCTTTACCACTCAGCCCTCTTGCCAGTCCTCATTTTGTTTTGAGGGGTTTTGTCTTTTTTTTTTGAGACAAAGTCTCGTGTATCTCTGGCTCACCTGCCTCTGCCTCCTGAGTGTTCATTTTGTAGTTGTTTTGTTTATGTTTGTTTTTTGAGACAGGGTCTCCCTGTAGCCCCAGCTAGCCTGGAACTCCCTATTTTAGACTAGGCTGGCCTCATTACCACAGAGATCCACCCAGCCCTGTGGTTTTTTTTTTTGAGTCATTTTGTGAACATCATATTGCTAACAGCATCGATCTACATATCTACAAATATGTAGCAAGTCTTCTGTTGTCATGATTAATAATATTATTAACATATCTTACATTCATAAATGGTGGCCCATTCTTCAAGCTCTAAGGTAAAAATATTTTGCATTTTCAAATGATTTATCCTGTTAACAAATATTCTGTCATCTTTGTTGTCTTTTTAAAAATATTTTATATATATATATTTTTTTTATTTTGTTTGTATGTTTTACCTGCATTTAAGTGCACTATGTGCATGCAGTGTCCGCAGAGGCCAGAAGAAGGCATCAGAGCCCCTGGAACTGGAATTTTGGACAGTTATTAGCTGCTATGTGGGTGCTGGGAATCAAACCGAGGTCCTGTAAGCCATCTCTCTAGCCCCTTTTGGTTTTGTTTTGAGACAGGGTCTCCCTATAGCCCCAGCTGGCTTGGAACTCACTATGTAGTCCAGGCTGGCCTTAATCGCATAGAGATCTGCCTGCCTCTGCCTCTGCCTCTGCCTCTGCCACCGCCACCACACCTGGCTGAGGTGTTAGCTTTTTATCAAACTTTCAAAATTCATGTCTGGTCCTTTCAGTGTGTGGTCAGCTTATAAACTGAGTTCTCAATGTGGGTCAGGCACTTTTGTAAGGTACTAGAAAGGGCATGGGGAACACTGAGATTTATTCATTCATACCTCACACTGTAGGAATTTCACTACATGGAAGAAGATCTGTACCGAACAAAGAGCACATTGCAAAGCCGAATTAAAGATCGAGAGGAAGAAATTCAAAAACTCAGGAATCAGGTAGGAATGGGAAAAGATTTGTGAGCCTGAAAGGTTTCAATAAGATTGTCTCTTTCCATATTTTCTTCTGAGTTCCAGTGTGAGGTTTTTCAAGTTGGTGTTGAATTTTCATCTAACATCACTTGAGCCTATACTTGCTCTGTGCTATGGCTTCTGTAGAAGTGTCATGTAGCCAGTTATCTGAGGTTAGAATTTTCTCCAAACTTTCATGGCTTCTGACTTTAATGTGGTTGTGCTGATTATCAGTTCCATTAATTGTTTGCCTTTTCCTAAGAAAAAATCTAATGCTAAATCTTCCTATTATTAGTTGATAAGGATGTCCATAAAGTCACCACAATCTTTTTTTCTAATTCCGAGAATGTCAATGAGAAAGGAATGCCCCTTAGACCTTCCACCCAGATGCCAGAGCCCACAGTCTTGCATTTACTTGCCCTGCGATTGGGCATGGTTCTCTCCTCCTCTGATTTTAGATTAACTTCCTATACAGAGGATTCATACTGTGCAATTTTTGTTGTTTTGTTTTGTACTGAGGATTGAGCCTGGGGCCTGGGAGTACTGCTTGACTCCTCCCCAGCCTTGTGCTGTTTTTGTTACTCAAGTATTAACCATACAGCATTTTCTCAGAAGAAAGAAAAACCTGTCTCAGCAAGGTGTAGTTAAGCTGTCTCCTGTCTTTAATCCCAGCATTCGGGAGGCAGAGGCAGACAGATCTCTGTGAATTCAATGCCAGCGTGGTCTACATAGTGAGTTCCAGGCCAGCTGGGGCTACAGGGAGACCCTGTCTCAAAAACACCAAATAAAAAAAAAAAGTTATTTAGACAATTATTTCTCATTGATGATTCTGTTCCTTACCAGAAAGTGCTACTCAGATGTAAGACTTGAAATCTTGGTCCAGCTGGGGCTACAGGGAGACCCTGTCTCAAAAACACCAAAAAAAAAAACCTTGTTTCATAGAAAAAGGAAGTTAATTTGTACAGTTTACAAAGCAATTGGCATTTTAATGCATTACAGAAAGACCTCTTGGATCGAAATTAAGATATTCTGAGTAAATTTAAAAAGCACTGCTTCTGCCAGGTCTAGTGGCACATGCCTAATCGTAGCACTCAGGAGGCAGAGATGTACAGAGCTCTGTAAGTTTGAAGTCAGCCTGCATAGCAGGTTCCGGGGGCTACAGGAAGACCCTGTCTCAAAAAGACCATAAATAAATAACAGCAGCAAACCAAATTACCGCAAAATGGTAATACTAACACTCTTCTATACTGCATGCTATATGGATCTCAGGAAGTGCCCCCTTCTGTTGTGTTCCATTTTCTAAGTGTTCATAGGTGGCCTGCTGATACAGTTTGAAAATCATTTCTATAGACATTGAAAGAATCATTATAGAGATTTGAAAACCCAATTAATATCCTTTCTTTAGTGTGGGACTTTGATTCTATATACTAATTTTATGAACACCTCGTCCTTCAGCTTACCAATAAAACTTTAAGCAACAGCAGTCAGTCTGAACTGGAAAGCCGACTCCATCAGCTAACAGAGACACTCATCCAGAAGCAGACCATGCTGGAGAGCCTTAGCACAGAGAAGAACTCCCTGGTCTTCCAGCTGGAGCGCCTCGAGCAGCAGGTGCACTCTGCCTCCACGGGTTCCAGCAATGGGTCTTCCATTAACATGACTGGAGTTGACAGTGGCGAAGGTAACCAGAGTAAGGCTTGGCACTAGAACACGAGTTTGAAAAATTACCTGCCAAGAAACTTTCTTCAGTGAAAAGCCTGAGATTTTTCCTGATGTGAGACCTGGGTCGTGTGCTGTTAGTGTCATCATTAGTCAGATGTATACAGGACTAACTGATGTCCCTCACAGGAGAAGGAAGGTTTGAGACTGAGAATCATGTTGAAGTAGATGATGCTTGGCAGGACAGATAAGGCAGGTGACTAGGTAGTAGAGCGATTTCAGGAAACTTGAAGCAAAATGGGTTTTCATAATCTAAATGACTATTAGTATTCAGGCCCATGCATAATTTGACCAGGTTTGTCCGTGTGCTTTAGTTTTGGTAGAGAAATCTGCAGATTTCCAAGATGCATGTTCAAAGAGTGTGTTAATACAAATAAACGTCAACAGATCAGAGTTTTAATCTTAGAACCTCATAAAGTCTGTAAGAGTCATTAAGCAAATCTCTCAGTTCTTTGACTATAAAATTCCTTTAAAGATTAAAAAACTTAGAGGGTGCCAGGTATGGGGATGAATTATAATTTTAATGGTCAGTAGAAGATCTAATTGAGAAATGGCACTTTATAAAAGTCCCAAAGGAGACCGGGTGAACTGTGAGGAGGGAGCAAGAAGAGGGGTGCAGAGGCCCTGGGGCAGCTGCCCCTAGAGGTTTCAGGGACAGCAGTGAGGGTGGGAGTGGTGTCAGGTGAGCTCAGAGAGCTTGAGAGGCTGAGCAGGCCTGCATTAGATTTCACTCTAAGACTTAGGGGTGGTGATTCTGACATACTATATTTTTTTGTTTGTTTCTTTTGGGGGTTTGGGGGTTTTGTTGTTGTTGTTGTTGTTGTTGTTGTTGTTGTTGTTGAGACAAGGTCTCCCTGTAGCCCCAGCTGGCCTGGAACTCACTATGTAGACCAGGCTGGCCTTGAAGTCACAGAGATCCGCCTGCCTCTGCCTCCCAAGTGCAGGGATTAAAGGCATGTGCCACTGTGCCTGGCCACACTGTATTACTGTATTCCTGGATAACTCACATAGACTGGGTGTGGTGATATATTTCAGTGGTACAGTGTTTGCCTAACATGCAAGAGACTTGGGTTCTTTTTCTAGCACCCCCCCCCAATTGCAGAGGGCTAAGAGCAGAGGTGGAAGTGTTGGGGTATTGTTGCATTAATCCTTAGATGGTAGTTCCCATCAGAGTAGGATTTCAAGGGATGTGAGAATTTATTTGTAAAGCGAGCTGGCAGAATTGCTGACAGATAGCATGTAAAGTTTGAAAGGAAGTCATGAAAGATTTTGGCTGTGGATGGAAGGGTGGAGTTGTTATATACTGGGATAGGAAACACCAGGAGAGGGAGTTTGCCAGCAAGAGTAAGAAATTGGAATCATAGTAGTAGGCGTGTTGGGTTTAGATGTACAAAAGGAAGTGTGAGCCGTTGGATGGTCTGGGGTGGGAAGTCAGGTTGGAAGGATCATCTGGAAATGAGTGTCCGAAGCTGGGGAAGTCCCTGGCCTCACTCCTGGCAATGCAGATGCAAAGGCCCAGGTATTGTCAACTTCTTCATGTTTGTTGAAATCATTTCTTAGTTTGTAAATTTGTTTGTTTTCATACATGTGGAAATTGAAGCATTTCCTGTCATTGAATTTATCTGTGTTTCCCTTATTATTCTTTCTACTCTGAGGGTGATGCTTAGAAAGTTGGCCTTGAGGGCCTGGAGAGATGGCTGAATGGTTATGAGCCCTTGGCTGCTCCTGCAGAGGACCCAGGTTTGGGTTCCAGTACCTACATGGCAGCTAACAACTGTTTATAACTCCAGTTCCAGGGGATCTGATGCCCTCCTCTGACCTCCACAGGCATCACATCACATGGGTGCACTTACATACATGTAGGCAGTATACTCATACACATAAAAAAAGTTGGCCTTGAGAATTCCTGCCTCATACAGTAACATGATACATTTCCAGCTACAGTTTTCTTAGAAAGGCTATTTTAGTGTCAGCATATTAATCTGTTTTCTTATTTAAACAGGCACACGCCTGCGGAATGTTCCTGTTCTTTTTAACGACACAGAAACCAGTCTAGTAGGAATGTATGGAAAGGTTCGAAAAGCCGCTAGCTCCATTGACCAATTTAGGTAAGCATTGCCACTCAGGATGAGTGATGGGCCTGCAACTATTTTTATATCAACTTCTGATTGACAGTCACCCTGGTCCCACTGGGCAGAGCTGTGTTTAAAGTGGCAGTTCCCTGTTCTTTTTGTGATACTTCTGTGCTCCAGGCTGTTCACCAGTGCCTGAACGTTGCTGAAGATTATTAACCTTGTCATCTCCTTTTTTTCCAATGAACTCTATCAGGAGCTTGCATTCCATTTCACTGAGACTAGTGCAGGCCACTCAGGACACTGAGATAGGATCATTTGTGATCAGGAATTCAAGACATGAGCTCCCATCTCAAAAAAAGAAAAATCCTTGCTGGGCGTGGTGGTGCCCGCCTTTAATCTCACCACTTAGGAGGCATAGGCAGGCGGATCTCTGTGAGTTCAAGGCCAGCCTGGTCCACATAGTGAGTTCCAGGCCAGCTGGAGCTACAGGGAGGCCCTGTCTCAA